ATTCAAGCGCTGAATTGAAACCCTAATACTATTAAAACATGAATTGAAATCCTAATATTGTACTACTAAAACATGAATTATGAAATAAGAAATTTTTTTAACTACATCTTTATTAAGTTATAATCTTTTTATAATAATAAAATTAATTAGTCCTATCATCATGACTATAGAGAGGTTAATAGCTTGATCTGACCGAACTCGATCTAAGGTAAGAATTATAGTAATATTGATCCTGGGAAGAGCTTTAAATCCTGAGCCTGAAAGCTCGCCTTATTCAATTTCAATCCCAGTTGCATTCCGATCTAGAATTCTTATTCCCAGTGATGTCATCACACTCTTTTTTTTTTTTTTCATTTTAAGTCATTGATCTCATATCTATAAGCAGGGGGGTCCACGTTCACTATTAAGCCTACGCCCGTCCATTCCTTTTAAGCTTGATCCCGCCCTTAGACTCATTACGCTGTTCGACTGAACTCGGTGGCTCCGCGTCGGTCGGAACCCGGTTCGAGAACCTTCTCTCATAGATTCCCTTCACCAAGTCATCGCCAGCAATCAACTCTTATCCCTTGGTGTCAAAGGGCAAGTTCCTTTCTTTTCTTGTCTTGCCCAAAAACTTTCTTTATTCTCATTGGAGAAAGACTCTCTCGCGGCAAGGTTTTACACATAGGGCCTGCTGCTTTCTTTATCTCGCTTGCCGTTAGTCCGTCTAGCGCCTTTCGGTTGGGGTCCGCCTCGGAGGTTAGACCCAATCTCGACGAAAGAATTACTATAACAACACCACAACTCTACTATACATAAATTCCTCGTGTCTGATTTTTGTTGATAGAAGCCATTCAGGATCAAAGAGAGGCGTGAGGCAAATCGCTATGATAGCTCTGATTGGATCGAAGACGGTACTCCTCGTGTAGTGCAGGGTGGTGGAAAATCTTTTTTCATAGAATGCGAATATGGGCCATCTGGCAGCCAACGTTACCATCTACTCAGGTACGTGTATTTCCTAACCATTTGTTTAGAAGACGGCTATGCCAACTCAATTATCAAAGATGGTCATCTGTCAATAGAGAGAAGGAAGGCATTGACAAGAGCTATGAACCGGTTCAACATACGCGATTTCAGAGATATGGATTGAGTCACGCTGCTCTTAAGTCTTATATTAAGTGAATCATTGTTAGATAAGGAAGATCGAGATGGATTGAGTGCAAAGCGGCTATCTACTCAATTATCTCCTCTGGGACAACCCTGATGGGGTGTGCCCTAGCGCTGAGACAAGGTAATTTATATCTAAGCATAACGCTTGCCGGGCACAGTACCTTTCGGATTCTTCTTGCTAGCTTAATCTCTTATTCGGGACTTCCTTCAATTAAAGGGAGGGACATACAACTACGGGGAGTCAGGGTATCCAGTTAGCAGCCTCGAAAGAGAGCGGTTGGTTGAATAGGTAAAGGCGGCGGATTGGAACTGTCGGTTAATGAAACGATTGGCGGCTTTTAGGCATGTAGTAGTTCCTATCAGTGGAAGGTATAGTTTTTCCCTAAATCAGTTTGTTGATAAGCCAGGAGTAGAAGACTTGGAAGAAATCCTTTTTTTGGAAAAATGGTACTTTATCTTTGTCCCTTGAGCCGTTTATTCCCTTTTGTCTTTAGAAAAGTAGTTCTTCTTTCTAGTGGGAGTCCTATCTCGCACTGGTATATTATAAGGGATTCCCCTTCTGCTTGCTCTTCTTATTATAGATTATTATAAACCCACTTTCCCTGGAACAAGAGAAATCGATGAAACCGGCGAACAATCAAAGAAGACTGCTTCGGCTTACCAAACTGTCCCGCGCTTAAGGGATTACTCATTTCATGGTTCAACCATTGAGTCTCATATTTTTCTTTTTTTTGTTTGAATTCATTCGATATTTGAAACTTTAGGATTGGTGGCGCAGGGTATAAGGTGTTAGGCCGTCTGCTTCATAGTAAATCGAAAAGGGTCAAGCGCATACGTGCCATGTGNAGTTACGTCAGTACCTCTCGCAACAAGTACTCGAGTCACAAAACTAAAGGTCGAGTCATGACTCCTCCCACCTGAGGGCGAAGTCATTACTCGACTGAAAGGAGAGGCGTTCCTCGGTATGCTTCACCCTTTGAATAGCAGGAATTCGTAAGTGGAAAGACCTCGCACTTCACACTATACATAGGCTGCTAGGAAGAAAGAACTTCGTACCTTTTAAGCTCCTCACAGAAAAACGGGACTAACCAAGGACGGCGAATGAGCAATACGTAGAGGTTTTTATTTTCCTATGGATTAGCGGTACGATTACGATGCTTGCTCCGAATGGAAGGGGGACCCTTTTCTTTACCCGGAGCAGTGAGCTTAATACCTAAGCCTGTAATTGACGGCTGGAGGGAGCTATCCTACTCTGTTAGGAGCTGGCTAGGAAGTGCCGTACGTGACATTTCTTTCCTAGGACTATTTAGGGTAGGGAATTTCTCTATTTGATTGAAGTGAAGGTCTGCAAGCGTGTACGGGAATTGAAGTGATTAGAACAGAAAGAACTGAGCTTGCCAGCCAGGAATGAAGAAGCAACGGACGCTATTCGTGGACAGAGCAACGGACAGATAGAGGTTTTGTTCCCTTCGGACCCTAACGTGATACGTCTTCGCCATGTGCTATTACTACTCTTGCTTGTAAAGTCCTCTAAATGAGTGTTGAGTCTACTAACAGCACGTCAACAATCTCTTTCTTCATATACTATACCGTCCGGTTTGATATCCGAAACAAGAGATATGACACAAGAGAGAGAAAGATAGATATTCCCCTGATAGGAAGAAGACAGAGTGCAGTTAGCAACTCAGAACACAGATTCGGATTAGTGCAAATAGAACTAGCTAAATTCAAGCGGTGAGTAATCCGAGTCCTTCTTGCTTGAAAGGAGTTGGCTTCTCTAGAAGCCTACTAATAATAGTATGAGGTTAAGTACCAGCTAGCATTCCGGAGATTGCCGGGGGTATTTGACCGCGGCGGGATAGAGTCTTCCTTCTACGATTCCGAACGGCTGCTAATGCCAAACCAAGAGAGCTACTAGCTAGGCAACAGGCGCTACCGGTGCTAGAAGCGCTTAATGGCAGGAAAGACTCAGGTTGTGGCATTTTTTTATTGAGATTAGATTAGTGATTAGTCACACCTACCGTAACCTATATTGGTAAGGTTAAGCAGCTGACTTAGCCCCCGTCTTCTTAAGGAGGTCTTTCTCACAGGACGGAGATAGGTTATACAATTATGACTTATTCAAGAGGTCCTCCCTTCCCTACTGGAGCGCTAACTCCTATTTTTTTGTAGAGAATCCTTGTGTAGTGTATTCTACTGGTATAGAATCTTTGTGCGCTGACTCCTACGAATATACCTAACTAGTCCATCCATTTTGATAAGATTCTTCTGCTGCCACTTCAAACACTCGAACACCTCTCTACTTACCGATCCACTCTTATCCTTCACCGCCTTCCCTAGCATCTATGTTAGCCGCTTCTCTCAGGCACAGCAACTACGTACCACCAATAGATTCTCATTTCGTTCCTGCTGGGCGTATTTCAGTGTTTCAAAAGAGAATTGCTTCTATCAAGATAGCCAGTCCTTCTCCAAGCAGTTTATGCGCTTAAACCCTCGCCGTAGAATCGATCTTTCGTGATGAGGACTGTACCTTTAACTCCATTGAAACCAAGACGGATTGCTCCTTGAAAGCGAGCTGAGCTGCCACCGCTTATCAAAGGTGCCAAAGCCTACTGCAGCTAAGGTAAAGANGTTTATTTATCAGATTTTATCTTTTGTTAGGTTTGGGACAAACTTGGAGTGGTTTAAAGAATTGTATTAAAATATTTTTAAATGACAATAATAGATACCTAATCTTTTTAACATATTTGATTTTAAAAATAATTTAATGCAAGAAATTTTTTATGTCTTGATCAATGGTAGACTTATGCTTAGGCTTATAGCCGCCATGGCCACCTCATATACCACCAAAAGTTTTAAATTTTTTATATATATGATTATTAATTTTGCCACTTGAAATTAAATATATACCTTTGTTTAGTTCTGTTTATTTATCAAATTTTACTTTTTGCCACGCAAATATTATATCCTAATTTTACCAATGGTTTTGATCGTTGATCTTCTGATTTCTAAACACATAACCTGATTAATACAATCATTATGATTCAATCCAAATATATATATTTGTTTGTTTATGTTTCTACTAATTTAAATTAGTTTTTTCTGTAATCGGATTAAAAATACAACCTTAAAAACCAGTTTAAAATGTCAAATAACAAAAGACTTTCGCAGTCTGTTTATGCCATCTTATTTGATGTTGAAGTGATTATGTAAAGGAGACAAGGGTATAAAAGTCAAGAAATTGGATGAAAGGTCAGCTTTGAAAAGCCTCTAATTTTTTGGCCATTTTATTTGACCCCTAAAATATTTAAATATTTTAAAGAGTATAAGGGCATTAGTTAGTTTCTTGCTCTCAGAATGCTTTGTCTTTTTGGTTTGATATTGTACTAAAATACCTTCATCCCTCTCCTCTTAAAGCCTCTTGTCGTCTACCTTATTTCTTGCTTCAGAAATCATTACCACATATTTTCTTTCTTTTCTCTCGCTTGATTTTTCACTACTCTCCCGTCCCCATATATATTTCTTAATTTCAGAATTTCTGCTCGGCACTCTTGTTCTGTTATTTAAGTTTGCACCTTTGTTGTTAATTATCTCTGTTTTATTTTCGTTTAATTTCTTCCTCTTCTATTTTTCAAACTTATTTCTGTTTAGAAAAAAGAAAAAGAAAAGAAAAATCCTATCTTTCCCTGATTTCTTGTTTACACTAAGAAAAAGAAAAATAAGAAATCCTCTCTGATTCCCTTATTTCTTTTCTTGTGCAAAAAATAATCTCTTCTATTTTTCAATTTATTTATCCTTTCCAAAAAAAAAATCCTTGATTTCATAATTTCTCCTCACTAGTTTTACTGTTATTGTCACTGTTTTAATTTCATTTACTTTCGTTCTCTTCTGTTTCTCGAACTTGAAAAAAATTTAAAAATGGCCGCACTTGTTGCATCTATCGCGGGTGTCGGGAATTTTTTTCTGAATCTTGTCAACTGCTTGGCTGCTCCGACTGGGCGTCCATTTATGTACTTGTACAATTACAAGAAGAACATTGACAATCTCCAAGGTGAAGTTAGGAAGCTGAAGAATACAAACAAGGAAGTGCAGGTTAAGGTTACTGTTGCTGAAAGAAACATGGAAGAGATCAAACAGAATGTTAAGGACTGGCAGAATGATGTGGAGAACACCATTACTGAAGCAGAGAAGTTGATTCAAGGGAAAGAAAACAACCCTCGATGTTTCAAGGGATTGTGCCCCAACTGGATCACCCGTTACAAACATAGCAAGAAAGCATTCAAATTAAAGGAGAAAGAAATCAGTCAACTCCTAGATAAGAATATTCTTCCATTCCTGCCGCAAGAAGAAAAGGTTGCCCATCCTACTATTCCTCAGGAGATCTGGCTTAGACCTAATGAAGATTATTTCGCTTTCGAATCAAGGACCTCCACTGAGACAAATGTATGGAATGCACTAAATGATGAGGATATCTACATGATCGGTGTTTATGGGATGGGTGGTCTTGGGAAGACCACGCTTGTGCAAGAAGTTGGTAAGAAAGCTGAGAAGGATAAGCTATTCGACGACTTTGTTTTTGTTGAGGTAACATTTATTATCAGAGGTTTCATTTTCTTAGTAGGAATGCTATCTTATCTTATTTAAATTTATAAGTAATATTAATATTTATGGGTGCGTTTGGTTTATTAATTTCGATAAGATTTTGAGGATAGTATTGGATAGTTGGATAAGGGAGTATTACGAGATAAAATTTAAAATTTTATGAAAAAACTCCCAAGGTTTGCTAATTTAATAAACACCTCAATATATTAAAAATTGTAAAATAACAAAAACACCCCTACCACCCGCAGTGCCAGATTCCGGCCACCACCACCGGAATCTGGCTGGAAAATTGGGTAACCACACATACCGATCGGATCTGACGGGTATTCGATTGATATGGCCTTTTCCGGCCAGATTATCTAAAGGGATTTTTATATAGCTGCTTTCTTCGCCCATGGAATATCCCTACAAAAGGGGTGAGTAGTTGAGTAAAGAGCTAGGGGTAGGGGCTATAATATGGGAATTCCTCTTCTTGAAGCGAAGAGTCCACGCAAGGCCAAAGATGGCCTTTTACGACCGTCGAAAGCCACATCCGACCTTAGATCTGGCCTTTTCCGGCCAGATTATCTACCATGGATCTGGCCGAAAAAGGCCAGATCTAAGGTCAGATGTGGCTTTCGACGGTTGAAAAAGGCCATCTTTGGCCGTTGACAGTCAACGACGACCATTTCTTTGGTCGTCGCTGACAACCAGATCTGGCCTTTTCCTGCCAGATCCACTGTGGATTTGGCTGGAAAAGGCCAATATGGCCATTACCGGCTATTTTCGGTAGTTGTGTGACTATTGTGATAGATTTCGGCTACCACCGGCGGCGGTTGCCGGAATCTGGCAAGTATTGGTGGGTGGGGGTGTTTTTGTTAGTCTTTAAACTTTTTTCTGGGGGTATTTAATGAAATTAATAAACTTATGGGGTCTAAAAGTAATTAAAAAATAGACTAATATTTTGGAAATAATGTACCAAACAACATTTGAAGAATAGAATTGAGAATATGGATAAAAACAATAAGCCAAACGCATCCTATATATTTGCGTTTATAATGAAGGAGAAGTAAGCTTTTAATAAAATATTGTTTCTTCGTTTTTAATAAAGACATCCTTATTTTCTTTATTTTCATATTTAATAAAAAGCACATTTATCAGTTTAGTTTTCTTTTGCTATTGTATTTCCTTTATTTTGTGGTTTTCGATTGGCCATATTTTTTTTCTCTTACACGTAACGGAAACTCCTGATACAAAAAAAATTCAAACAACAATTGCAAAAAAGTTAGGTCTCAAGTTCGAAGATGAGAGGGAAGATGAGCGTGAAAGAGCAAGTAAGTTATATTCTAGAATGAAGGACAAGAATATCCTTTTAATTGTAGATAATATTTGGGAAGAGTTAGATTTGAAGACGGTTGGAATTCCTTCTAGAGCTGATTGTGGAAGAAATAAAATGTTGATGACAACAAGAAAAGAAGATGTGTTGGAGAAGATGGGTTCCACAAAAAATTTTGAGATGAGCATTTTAAATGAAGAAGAAGCTTGGACTCTATTCAAGAAAATGACAGGTAATTGTTATAACACATTTTAATTTGATAATACATAAAATTTGTGTTATGGTTTGATGTGAATAAATAAAAAGTTAAAAGTAGTAATAACATGAAATATTTTTAAAATTTGTATAATTAATTGATTGATAGAATACTAGTGCTAGCTTAGGGGCATCTCTATAACATCACATTAAAAACAAAAAATCTAATTTAATTTTTGTTGTTGTTTTTTTTTTTTTTTTTTTTTTGTTTTTTTGAAAATTACTTTGACGTAAGTTTTATTTATTATCTAATTAAATATTCTGAAAATCAAATTTCTTTGCGGTGGGGATTTGGTTGCGGCTTACCAAGGGGTTGGAGGCCTTGGGTCTGCTAAGTGGGGTTTGGCTGGGGTAAGTGGGGTTTGGGATCTTTTTAATTTTTTCTAATATTTTATTTTGTAATAGTTTTACTTTTGATTTTATTTTTGGGTTTTCGTCATCCCCTAAGATTAAAGCTAATTACAAATCCCCTGAAATATTATAAATCCCCCTACCATTAGTTAGTCATTATAACTTCAATAATACTATGGACATCGATAATTTGTATTGAATTTTTGTACTGATGCACATGACATCTAGTCAGACGCAGTTACGTTAGAGACAACACATGTCTTTCATAAATGAACGATCGTCCAATAATTATGGATGCTCGTTCATATTTGATGGATGGTCGTTCAACACGAATGAACGAGCGTCCATGAAAATAACAATGGACTCTCGTCCATATTATTTAGACAGCAGTCTATTTACTATGGAAGGGTGTCCACCTCATATGAACGCCCGTCCATAAAATTTTAAAAATAAAATAATGGACACCCGTGATAGCTCACAAGTTGAGAAAATGATTTCTATAGGACCAGGTTTTCAAGTTGAAGTTCCAAAATGGACTGGTGTGCCTTCTGAAAGTGACGTTAAGTGGTTGGGGACTCGGGTTTGGCCACTAGGAAAGGTAGAACATCAAATTTTAATTGAAAGGGATTGTATCAGAAAGGGAAGACAAGATTCGTGTGGTTGCCAGTTCCCAGCATCTATTGAATGTGTTAGATTTCATATTGTTGAGAAATGGTACAGACTTAAACTTGAACTGTCTTTAGCTTTTCACAAATGGAAAATTGATAAGATGGGTGAAGAAGTTATGCTTTCTTGGATTGAGCAATAACAAAAAAAAAAAAAAAAAAAAAAAAAATTCAAGAATATGGTGAGATTAAATCCTCTATCTCTTGATAAGTGTTTTTGGGACCAGATATTCAAGTTTTTTCAAGCCAAAAACAGGGAAGAACTCGTGAGCTTCTACTAGTGTCCATTATTTATTTTTAAAATTTTATGGATGGGTGTCCATATGAGGTGGACATTCGTCCATAGTAAATGGACTCTCGTTCACATAATATAGACGGGAGTCCCTTGTTATTTTCGTGGACACTCGTCTATTCGTAAAGAACGGTCATCCATCATAATATGAACGAGAGTTCATTATTATTTTCGTGGACACTCATCTATTCGTGAAGAACGGTAGTCCATCAAATATGGACGGACGTCCATAATTGTTAGACGATCATACATTCACGAAAGAAGTGTGTTGTCTCTAACGTGACACATGTCTGACTGGGTGCCACGTATGTTGTTACAAAAATTCAGTGCAAATTATCGGTGTTTGTAGCATATTGTTATAACTTTTGACACCTAACAATAATATAGCAATGGAATCCCGTATTTGCCCTTGCAAACGTGGCATAAAAAGGGAAAGACTTAATTGCTCCTTTTATATAAAATATAAAGGGTTAGAAAGGTAATTCCAAATATTATCTTGTTTTATCTTTTTAAGTATAACTCATTTATATTTTAATTTTCTTAATCTAATAACCGTATTTTTTTCTCTCTTTTTATTCGTATTTTTAATCTGATTTTTTAAAAGTAATTTAATAACTGTAATTTTTTTCTTTTAAATTCGTAACTTATTTTTTTTTTTCTTTCCTTTTATTCATTTTTTTAAATCTGATTCTTTTGAAAAATAACCCAATAACCCTTTCTTTTTTCCTTCTCATGTTTAATTTCGTAACCTCCATTCCTGTTAAAACCCAGCAGTTGCAAACCTCACCCACACCGTGCCCCACCGCAAGGCCCAATCGGCAGCCATTGACAACTATAGTTGCTCCCATTAGCCTCCCGTGCACCACCACCGCACCCAAATCGTTGCCATCTCTTCCATTGCATCTACACCACAACCATCGCCATTGCATCCATAACGCAACCATCGCCATTGCACCCACACCACAGCCCACCCTTTAGACCAACACCATAACAACCACAGCAAACCAGATGACAACCATTGCCGCACACATTGGCCTCCAGCGCACCACCACAACATGCAAAGTGCAACACGTCTCCATTGCCCCACACCACAACACATCCCCATTGCAGCCACACCAACCCATTACCCCTTAAACAACCACCACTACCACATCAGCCATAACGAAACCAGATCACCAATCAAATCAACTTCACAAGATCCACAACAAAACTATCCAGGTTTAAACAAGCTCCCTAGCCAAATTGATTATAAAAAAACCACCCAAGGCTTCGCTATCAGGGTTTGAATTGAAGGTGAGGCGGCTTCATTCCTCTAGTTTAACAGAAATTTCATGATTCTTTGCAACACAAAAATTCTTCAAACGACAGTTAATAGTTATGGACCCAAACATTGCTTTCCTACTTTACGTTTTTTAGTTACCTCTCTTTTTCCCTTTTTTTTTTTTCATTATTTTATTCATCTCATTGCTATATATAAGATTATTCAAATAAAAAATAAAAAATAGTAATTTAAAAATCTGATAAATTGTGTAAGTATATATATAACGTAATATAAATTTTTCTACTAATGAACAAATTTAATAGTGTAAATTTTTAAAATTGAATATACAACAAATTTGGTGTGCTAATAAATAGCACTATTTGCTACTTTGAGGGATACTAGTTGACCACTTATCTTTATCTTGCTAGCCTCCAACTATAAATTTTTACATAAATACAATTTTATCGATCCTTCAGCAAAATTTGTTACGTCTTAAATCCTCTTAATTTCTATTTCTACATCTTCAATCTTCTATTTTAAAATTAGTTAATTAAAGTGCTTAGTGTAATTCCCATTATTTTCAGCCTAAATTCACAATAATGAGAACTGACTTGGCAGCTTCATTTTACATTTCCTCATTTCTTATCAGCTTATTTTTCTTTTCTATAAAAACTGTCTTAAAGTCTTAGAGCTCTTGATAAGACAAATGTGTTTGGAAAGAAAAAAAAAAGAACAAGGAATATTATTTGGAGTTAAGTGTAGTTTATTTAGATTTTCAAATATATTTTTTGGCTTTCTTTAGAAAAGAGTCTAATACGATAGCTAGAGAGAAAACAACAACACTTGGAACTTTTCTTGTTTTTAAATCAAAAGCATGTGAATAGAAAATGCAATAATCCTAGCTTCTTTTGTAGGTAATGTTATTCAAAGACGTGAACTGCATTCTTTACCAAATGATGTATGTAAAGAATGTAGAGGTTTGCCCATTGTCATTTGTACAATAGCAAAAGCATTAAGGAACAAGAGACAGGAATCTCAATGGGAAGATGCCTTGCGAGTACTAAGAATGCCTTCTCTAGCACAGTTCCCAAGACTTTTGGAAAAAGAATATTATAAGATTAAGTTGAGTTATGATTATTTAGATCATGATGAGCTCAAGAAAACTTTCATAATTTCTAGTCTAATGGAAAATAATACTTCCATTTCAGACTTGTTCAAGAATATTGTTAGTTTAGGTATACTTGAAGGAGCTAACTTTACAATAGAACAAGCACGAAATAGACTGGATTTAGTGGTCAAAGAACTCAAAGACTCTTGCTTGTTACTTGATGGTTATAACAAAGAAAGATTTTCCATGCATGATGCTGTTCGCATTGTTGCTATAACATGTGGATATTTAGATTACTATGTGTTTACAGAGAGAAATGACATTGAAAGCGAATGGAAGGATAAAGATAAACTTCGAAAATGCACAATTATCTCTTTAGTTGGTAATAACATTATTACTCAACTTTCGCCTGAAGGATTAGATTGTCCAGAACTTGAATTTTTTGATATGAGTAAGAGGGGTTCTTCTTTCAAAATCCCAGAGGGCTTTTTCAAGCTAATGCCGAAGCTTAGGGTATTGAATTTATTTCGACTACATCAATCATTGTTGCCGCTGTCAATTGATCTTTTGACAAACCTTCAAACATTGTGTTTAGACTATAGCAAAATTAAAGATTTTGCTATTATCGGAAAGCTTAAGAAGCTAAAAGTCCTTAGCTTGCGAAATACTGATATTGAGGAGTTGCCTCTAGAAATGGGTCAATTGATTGGGTTAAAGTTTTTAGATTTAAGCAATTGTAGGCAATTAGAAGTTATTGCACCAGATGTGATATCAAAATTATCGCAATTGGAAGAATTGTATATAAAGGGATGCCAAATTTGGTGGAAGGTTGAAGTACTCAAGGAGTTCAAGCACTTATCTCGACTGACCAATTTTGAAATAGATATTAAAATAAAAAAATGTTGCCTAAAGACTTCTTTTCCAAAGAGCTTAAAAAGTATAAAATATCAATAGGAGATTGGTCATCCCGATATCCAAAAATTTATGAAAATGAGATTTTGAGGATGTTGGAATTTAAATTTAATTCTACCATCTCCCTAGAAGAAATTCGTGGAATCAAGAATGTTGAACTCTTAAGCTTAGCTGAATCTTCAGATGATGAGAAAGATCTTGCGGGTTCAAATTTTAATTTGCAATCCAATGAAATCACACCACTTTTTAATGAAAAGGTTTGATTGATGTTAACCCTCTTGTACTTCTTTATTATAGATTCTTGTTTTCTTTTATGCTTATTCTCGTTTGTTAACACATAACTGTGGTATTGAATTATTTGTTCTTCTCTTTTTGTTTTTTTGTTTTTTCCCTTGTGATTTAAATTTTCAGTTAAATTTTAAGTACTTCTCTTTAATATTTATACTTTGTAATTTCTATCAAATTGATTTAATTAATTCGTGCTTGATTTCATGACGAAACTTTTTAGAGAGACAAAGACACATTGTTAATACTAATGGCATGTCAACTACAAATCCAACATTCAACTATGATCAACTATTACTTCTTTTTGTTTTTTTTTTTTTTAATTTTTTCATATGAGTAAATATTGAAACATCAATTATCTTTGACTTCAGGTTATTTTCTCTAATTTGATGGCCTTGCAACTGAAAGTTACTAGTTCTAGAAAGATTTGGGACAGCCAACCTCCAACATTCATGTCTTCCTTGACACGTTTGAACTTGAATNGGTGGTCAAGAAAGATTATCACTTTCTACTTTCTGGCACAGGACAAATATTAATGGTTTATTGCTTTAATACCCCAAATTGCTTATTGATTTAATCCTATCAATGAATGCCTCATTTATGTTAAGTAGAGTTTCATTTTCTTATAAATTTATAAAGTTCGTTCAATTTTTTTCTCGGTAAAGTGTCACTTTTATAATGACTCATAGAATTGAAGCAATGGAAAAATTCCTTTTAGAATGAAAAGGTAGACATAAGATAAATCAACAGATATGACGATATGGCTGTGGCAATCGACGAGAGATTTGAAATTGATATCAAGATAAGGCAACATTAAACATTTTGACCATTAGGGGTAGCTATCCCAAAAGGGAATCTAATTTAATAAATTAATTAAGTTGGTCATTAAAGATTGATTATCACTTTCTACTTTCTGGGCACGGGACAAAATATTAATGGGTGTGCTTTTTTCTCAATCCTATTTCTATTCTACTCAAAATATATATTTGTTTTAATATTCTCAAAATCCAATCATACTCTATTCAATTCAATATACTTATTTTTTAACCCTCTAAGTTTATTAATTTAACTAAATACCCCCAACAATCAAAGTTTATAAATTAACAAAAACACTCCCACATACCCACATTTGCCAGATTCCAGCCACCACCGTCGGAAGTGGTTGAAATCTTCTACCGTAATCTGGCGACTTCCAACCACCCCCCAGCAGTGGTGGTCAGCTATCGGCATTTAATGGGTGGATGTGAGTGTTTTTATTAATTTTTAATTTTTTATTGTAGGGGGTGTTTAGCTAAATTAATAAATGTAGAGGGCGTTTTTGTTAATTTTTAAATCCTATTCTCGTAATAACAATCTAACTCAACTTTTTCAAAAATACTATTCAAAATAATAAAGGGTCCGTTTGGTACATTATTCTGATACTTTTTAGAATAATATTTTGAAAAAAGTTAAATTTGGTGGGTATCACGATGTAGGATTTGGAAATTAACAAAAATACCCTCTATGTTTGTTTATTTACTAAACACTCTTATAATAAAATATTAAAAATTAACAAAAACACCCCCAACCCACCCATTAAATATGAACAGCCGGCCACCACAGCCGAAGGGTGGTAGGAGTCGCCGTATCGGCGCATGATCTTATCGGTCATGCACCGATATGGCTTTTTCCGACCAGATCCATGGTGATTTGACCAAAAAATGCTAGATCTACGGCTAGATTTGGCCATCGACGGCCAGATCTGACTGAATTTGGTCGTCAATGACGACCAAAGATACAGTCATCGTTGACGACTGGCTACGGCCAAAGATCTGGCATTTTCACCGTGGATCTGGCTAGAAAAGGCTAGATCGGCACATTACCAGCCAGATTCAACCGGTAGTGCGTCATTATACCAGATTTCGGCCAGCTTCGACAGTGGTGGCTGGAATCTGGTAAATGTGGGTTGCTGGAGTGTTTTTGCAATTTCTAAAAAAAATAATTGGGGGTGTTTAGTTAAATTAACAAATTTAGGGGGGGTTTTAAAAGAAACTGAATAATATTTTGGAATAAGCCAATTTTACTGTTTAACTTTATTGGGAAAACTCATAATGTTATTTTCAAGAGTGAATCAAACGGAGCCAAAATAAGCATAACCAATGCTTTTTGTTTTGGTTTGAAATAGTTATCAGAAGACAAAGAAATCTCCTAACATTAAGAGACAGATAAACTTATCTTATGAATCAAAATTGTTGTGAGATATATATATATACTGTAAAACCTCTTTATAGTGATACTCTATATAGGAATAAACTCTACATAGTCATAAAAAATTATATTCCCAATTTGGGATAGTTATAAATAAGAATAAACTCCATATTGTAATAAGTTATAATTTTTCTAATTCTCGTCTTAAGGAAAGTTGCCTCCATATAGTAATAATTATATGTATATTGTAAAAAAATATATGTTATATTATATTAAAGGTTTAAGATGAAATAAAATATTTATCTAAAGTTGTTTGGGACAATAAGTTATGCTTTAGAGTTATTACCACATCTTTTAACTTGCAGGTACATTACTCGCTAGCATGGACATTTTTTTGTTGAAGCCAAAACATTTCTAGCTTCTTAAGCATGTTTAGAGCTTCTTGGTACAAAACTTTTTGTATTTCCGTACTATCATCCTCATAATTATTTCATTTCTCTTCTTGTCTAATTGTAGCAATGATTTATTCTTCTGTTAAAGCATACATGACTTCTTGCTCATTTAGATGATTAAGGAAGACATTAATATCTATTTGATTAATGTAGTGAAGTTGTCAAATCTGATCACTCAATTCTACAATGACTCTTTGATTCCCCTTATCCACTTCAATTGTAACTTCCAATTCATCAATATTGGGGGTCTTAATTTTGTAATGCTTAAAACAATTGGCAATTGTCTGTGGCTTCACATCAATTAACCATGCATCAACTGCATTTACAATTCCATCAAAGACAGTTATCTTTATTGGTTCCAAGACACAATCTTCTATCTATTTCAAAAGTAGGCAATTGAAGCGTTGAATTGAAACCCTAATACTATTAAAACATGAATTGAAATCCTAATATTGTACAACTAAAACATGAATTATGAAATAAGAAATTTTTGTAACTACACCTTTATTAAGTTATAACCTCTTCATAGTAATAAAATTAGATAGTCCCACCATTATGACTATAGAAAGGTTTTATTGTATATATATATATATATATATATATTATGGTTGATTGTTAACACAATTATGACTATTCTTTTTAATTATGCAAATTTTGTCAATTCCAAAACAAATTATGTTTTATGACTCAGTGTACCCTAGAGCTCAAGTTGTGATTTAAATTAAAGTTAATATTGGTCTAGTATATGATAACGTTCATTTACCGGTTTACGTGTTTAGGTAAGATGACAATTTAAAACATGGTATCAAAGTTAAAAGTCTCTAACTTCAAATCTCTAGATACAAATTGGATAAAGAAATTCAAATTCTAAGCAGGTGACTTGTTTGACAAGTGGTAAATCACTCGTAAGTCCAACTTGCGAGACCTAATTTTGTAAGAATTGGTTTTAGTATTTATATAATATTTTAAAATAATTTATCATTGTCAACGTGTTGGTCCTGCAAAGTACTTTACTGGCATTTCACTGCTCCACCGAAAATTCCCTACACCCCCTATTGTACTCCATCTCAGTAGTTTCTACCATTTGTCTAGAATTGAGCTTTGGGATTTAAGAATGGACTTAATAATCCACATATAGACCCTTTCCAAATATCATTTTGGATAACGTTTGCGTCTTTTGTATTATTTTATTTTATTTTTTTATTATCCCGGGTGTTTGGGTTAGCTTATACATACCTTGATTAATTTCCAAGGCCCATTGAACACCCTATAAACCCAATGTATAAATTAAGCCACAAATTTAATTTGTGGTAGGTGAACCCAGGGTTTGAACCCAAAAAGTTAATGAAATGAGTAAACTTTCTTGACCACCAGACCAACCCCTTATGGTTTCATTTTTTGTATTATAGTGTGTGTTAGCTTATACTTGTTCCGAATTTGTTTGATATGGGAAATAATTATTTATCATTTTATATAATACCTCATTTTTATATTAATAATACTATTTGTTGATGTGTGATTTTGACACCAACCAAACACACCTGTGAAATGCTGAGCTGGCCCAGAAGACACACATGGATGAACAAACAAGAGTAAAAACAATGGAGAATAGCGTTTAAAGTGGTTCGGATGCTAAGGAAGCAAATCCTACGTCCACTGATTTTGTATTAATGATAGAGGTCAGGTTGCGTTCAGCAGACTGACTTACAAATGATTATACAAGAGAGAGAATGCTATCTTTTCTTTAGAGAGATTAGCTAATCCTTTAAACGAGAGAGCTGCTCTCAATTTATAGTGGGGTAGATTAAGGTTATCATTACTAAATCTGTGAGTTGGTGGGATTATCCGTGCAAATCCTTCTTTATGTCCCATTGCCCACCTTCTAGAGTGATTTACGCGATTTGGTGCAGGGATTGGACACGTGGAATCGCTATAGCTCTTGGTTGGTCTGACGCGCACCGACTGCCCTAACAGGAGCATGCCGCCCCTCTCATTGTATGACGTGGCTATCTCTGATTGGCTGCAGGCCTACCTAAGCTCTAACTTTTTATGCT